TAAATTTATATAAAAATTTATAAAAGGAAAGGAAATGAAAGGCGAAAAGTATGAACAATTTACTGTTAAGGATTCTCGTTTGTCATTGATTGTAACTTAGATTAATAATTTAGTGTTAGATACACTGAATTTAATAATTTACTGTTATCGTATAATTTTTTGATAACAACTTCTTGTGACTATCATCAGTTCCAAATACAATTTTTTTTTTTTTTTTTTTTTTTTTTGGTGTGTGTGGGTGGTTATTTTATTATTATTTTTTACTATTGGTAATTTCTTGATGAATTTTGTGAAAGTGAATTTATATTTAAGGTTTTTAGTTTAAATTCCTTTGGAACTTGCAAAACATTCCATAATTAGAGGTGAGGAGGAGGTTTGGATTTGAAGATAATTATTTTATTCTGAGTAATTGTTGGATGTAATTGTAATATTATGTGGCGATATCACCCTCTAAATTATGATAAAGACCATAACAATATTAAACAAGTTACAAAAATGAAAAAGATAATACAAAAGTCAACTTATTATTTTAATTTTTTACATGTCGTTTTATAAAAAGTTAAGAAAATAAATACAGTCAATAAATTAGTGAGACACAAATTTTGTTAAGCTAATAGCCTTCTTCACAATTTTTTATGGCCATTGACACTGTTTTAGTTAGAAAATTCCCTATTTGCGTTGACTTTCTCGTCGTGATTTTTCAATAGATTTTGCTCACTCTGAGTGGCTTCAGATCAGTCAATTCCTTTGTATTGTTCGTTGATCTGAGCCGTTGACTGGTTTTCTATTACTGGTTTTCTTTGGATATATGTCTATGTGCCACCTATTTTATTTTATTTTATTTTTATTATTTCATTATCTCTTTTCCTCGTAATTTTGCCCCTACTACCGAATCTGTAAGTATATATCATATCTGTAAGTTAATATAATCATATATTAATTTTTAAAATGGTATCTACATTTTGTACTAATAATATAATCATAAATTAAAAAATTATTATACATAAGTAAATTTCTTATTTAAGTTTTTACTAATAGGCACAATGATATTAGTCAACTGACAATATGTTGCGTTAAGTGGTAATAAAAATTTGGTGAAAACCAATTTATACATATTATTAATCTTGGGCAATGATTGGTGACCACAAATTCTGTGGCTCAAATGACTCGAAAATATCAAAACGACGTCGTTTTGGGTACAAAATAACTCTGAAAATGCCAAAACGACGTCGTTTTGGGATTTTCGGACCATTTAAATCACAGAATTTGTGGTCACCAAACATTTTCCATTAATCTTAACGGTTTAATTTCATATAACGCTTCTCTAGACTTACCAATTGCTATGTTAGTATGTGGGTGAAAATCTGACCACACTGCCCGTTTAGTGATCAGCTGGAGAGCACAAGCAGAATAGATGGCTTAAGCAACCTGAAACAGAAAGAAAAAAGCTCCGGCGGTGGTTCTTTCACCCGGGGGCACTCCGACGATCATGTCAGTATATTTCTCAATGATAATCAGATACTAAACTGAATACTCAAAGTATAAATTACATACCTTAGACCCACGGGGGTGCCTCTCTTTTATAATACACTCAATCCAAATCCCACTAGAAGTATGACTTCTATGAATTCCAATTTACTGTTTATTCTGGACTCTTTAAGAGATAAAGATAAACTCCCTAAGAGCTTTATCCTTATCTTGGTTAAGTCCCCTATTTCCCTTAGGACTCTTGCCCTTTATCTCGGATTCCGATATCTTCGGAGATGACCTCGGCTTCTCCGTGATTACCTCGGCATAAACTACCAAGGCACGTGGCACCTCGGCTGACACGTCGGCGTCACCATGCCATGTGTTGGTATTCAGAAAATACATCCTCACAGTTAGATCACATGATGTTTTTGGATTATAAATTTATATAAAGATTGATAGAGGAAAATGAAATGAGAAGAGAGAAAATGATAGTAATTTAGCTTGCATTTTTTGTTATTTCCTTTCTATTTCTTTCCGTTCACAAATCTCTATATAAATTTATGGTCCAACTACAATCTTAAAGTAATTAGTGACAAGATTAATCATAAATCAATTAAAGTTCAAAGTTGAATGTGTTGTAATTGAAACCAGTATAATTAATCAAATTAAAAAGAATAGATATGTTTAACTATGAGCATTGTGTTGATTTAGAAATACAAACTTTGAAATAAATAGATGTACAAAAGTATATTTTTCTACATTCTATCCCCTATGGATCGTACCGGTTAATTATAAGTACTTTCGGAGTAGTAACAATAATAGGATTACAAATGAACCGTTCAAGTTCAGCCCATTTAAAACTCTTTTAAATTCAGTTTGTTTATTAAATGAATAAGTTTGAGTAGCTGTAAACTCTACTCGATAAGGATGGTGAATATAAAAATAATAATTATTATTATTTTTAATAATATATCCAATAAATTTTTGTTAATTTGTTTTATTTTATTTTTTATATGTGTTTGGTATGTGTAAATTTACATATTTGATTAATGAAATTTATTATTAATATAAGTATTCTTGTATATTTTACTCATAATTTTTTATTTTTATCTTAATAAGTAAATTTATTTAAGTTCAATTTTTATTTTTTTGAATTCGAGCTCGACTTGTTTATGTGAGGAAAATTCTAAATATACATAAAATTCATACAAAAAGTTTGATAAGACTGATGTGACAATATCATTATTGTAAATAAATCCATCTCAATGGTGTTTGGTTTTGAAATAAAAAATTCACAATGAATCACATCATTATGTAGAATTTTTTGTTTTTATAACATTGCCCTTTATTTAATTAAGTTGGCTTAAACTAAGCTCGAGTTTCTAAAATATTTAACAAGTTAACCTCGAGCTCAATTAGTTAAGCCTGACTTAAGTTCACTTCGAGTTAGAACTTGACTAAGTTTTAATAAACAATGAATATTCAAAAGTTCAGTTCGACTCGGCTAAACTTGTTTGCCGTCCTAAATATAAGTAATGATATAAATAGAGTTAATGTGACTTAGGTCAACCATTAATATATTATTAGTCAGAAATACTACCTCTAGATGTTACATTGGTAAATGATTGCATATTTATGCCGTTTGGAATTTTTTCTTTCGATATACATTTTGGAAGTGTTGTTCTCTCACGTTTGTTTGTACTATTCGATAAATCCTTGCGTGAAGTCAAATCACTACTACAAAAATAGATAAAGATCATATTTTTTTTGTGTAATGTATGTTATTTAATCACACATTTTAAGTTTTATTAAAGTGTGATCTTTGGGAGTGTGATTAAAAATGGTCATTTTTAATCACACTTTTTAAGTGTGCTTAATAACATTTAGATTACACCTTTTAAGTGTGATTAAAAATATTTAGATCACAGCTTTTAAGTGTGATTAAAAATATTTAGATCACACCTTTTAAGTGTAATCTTTGAAAGTGTGATTAAAAAAGGTCATTTTTAATCACACTTTTTAAGTGTGATTAATAACATTTAGATCACACCTTTTAAGTGTGACCTTTGGAATTGTGATTAAAAATGAGTGTGATTAATAACATTTAGATCACACCTTTTAAGTGTGATTAATAACATTTAGATCACATCTTTTAAGTGTGATTAATAATTAATAAAATCTGTAATAAAAAAAGGGTTCGACATATTTGAAAAATAATCAATATTATTTTTGTATGCACATTTGAAGAATGTAATACACACTATATACTATATTTTGAATCATAACCACATATTGAATAGAATAACGTCATATATTTCATAAATGAAAATTAAATATTCAAAAGTATATACAAAGGAATTAAATAAAAAAAATTAACTGTACTTACATATATTAAAAAATGAAAAAACTTAAAAAACCAAGTTCTTTAATTCTTCGACCATATTTTGCATCTCTCCAAAAAATTTCTGACCTGAAAAATAAAAATACAAATTAATCCAGAAACCGCTGATGCATATGAATAAACTAAAAAATTAATTCAGCAAACCAAAATAGAAACATTAATCATTTCTGCTTGATCTTAATCCTTTTGGAAGTAACTTCCCTGTTAACAATTAGATACCATAGCAGCTCAGTGTCAATGACATTGTAATTAGAAGGTCACTAATGAGCACAGTATTTAAAAATGATAAATCTCAATACAGCTTGTGTACGATCGTTTTGTGAATGTATATTATTATTACTGTTGAACCATAATTCTAGGTACCCATAAATAAATAAATAAAAACTCAAGAATTTACTCCATTTTTTTTTTTTGAGGGGGGGGAGAGTACATACATTGCAGTTACTATCACCAGCAGCAACAGGTTTTGGAGAAGCAGATACTGCATTTATGAAAAGAATTCATCGGAGCTTCTAAATACACTCGCTTATTTTCTCTCTACACTCACTATATGCATTGTATATCTTGTATGTTACGAAGAAAAATTTGTGGATATAGGTGTAGAGATGAACATGGCAGGTGTGTGGTTGGTTTAGAAACTCCCAATTGCATCATTTAAAACGAGGATTATGTGTATATATATGTTGTTTTACAACATTATCTAAATGAAATTGTTTCTTTTGAAGTTACAACATTTTTTCCATTTTGTTTTCCATAGCATTTAAAACAAGTACTCTGTTTTATGTAAAAAATCATTTATAGCATTGTATGAGAATATCACCAATTATATTTATTTTTCAAAAATGGATCCATTCTGTTTTGCAATCATCCAAGTCTGATTGGAGCTTTCTTTGCAATGACACTAGACTAATGATGCATTTGGTTCTCTAGATGCCATGGAAATAGAAAAATCCATGGTATTTAATAATACAATAAGAAGCTAAAATATAAAGCTGACCTGTGTGACGCACTATTCTCTCTAAGTCATATATCTCAAAGTCATTTCCTTCCTGCTCAAACAAATACCCAAGCCCTTCATTTAGTCCTAAAAGAGTACTAAAAAAAAGTTAATGAAAAAAGGGAAAAATTTACTTTGCCCCATATGGTTTACTCCATGTGTTGTTTACGCTTAGATGTTTAAAATAAGCATATAATTTACTTCATGTGTTCTCTCATTGTCTAGGTGATTTGCTGATGATTTGTACAACCTGTGGCCCTAGATATGGCATAGTGGGTAAAGAAAACTCTTGAGAAGTTGGGATGAAGATAGGTTTGATTTATTGTTATAATTTTTATTTTTGTTGTCATATATAATCATGAATTTGCTAATAATAATGTGAAATTGAAGCTTTGGACTTGAAATGCAATATACCTCAGCTATGTCTTGTAAGATTTGAATGATCCTCAAAGCAGTTGTAGAATCCAGGCCAAAGGTTGGTTCATCAAGAAACAAAAGAGAAGGGTTGATTATAATCTCATTGCCAATACAGACACGCTTCCTCTCTCCTCCTGAAACTCCCCGAACAAAAGAGCTACCGATCATAGTGTCTTGGCACCTGAGCACATTGATATTCCTCATTGACCAGCTCATGAGAACAAGTATGATTCATTTGTGTGTGGTCTGTTTTTTGCTATATCTGACTTTAGCTAACACATAATTCAAGATAATAGCATAGCAGAGAAATGAGAATTTACCTCTCCAAGCCCAACTCGTCGATTACGTCTATGGCTCATTTTTCCTTTTCCTGTTTTGTCAATGTCTTTGGAAGTCGTAGGAGTGCTGCATATGTTAATGTTTCCCTCACTGTAAGGTGAGGAAAGAGCACGTCGTCTTGAGTCACGAATCCTATCCTGAAATATATTTCATGTTATTCTAATGTGTGATTACCCTTTATTTTCACATCACTTATCTTTTTTTCTTTTTTTTTAATGGTAATGTTCAGGCTATACTTTTATGTGAACATTGAACATTCATACAGGTGAAAAATTATAAAACCAATTTCAATTAGGTAGGTTTTAGAGGAAATCTGCCTTAATCAGGCTAATATGATGAAAGTGGTGGAAAGTGAAGGAAATGGTGGAAAAAAGTTAGAACTATCCTGAGTTTGTTTAACATAAAAGTGATGGAAGTTATAAGAAGGTAATTTTTCTATCCATCCCATGGTAGCATGGTAACTAAGCTTTTAGTTTCTTACAAAAAACACAGAAAAATACAAGATAGTTTAAATTTGTTAATAAAATTTTTAAATTTCAATATCAGTGTGTCTGAGTCGTGTCACATATCCGTGTCCATATCCATGCTTCTTAGGTTTTAACTTTCTTTGCATTAGTTGTAGTGATGATGAATTTCTGTGAATATATACAACAAAGGCCTATGAGAAAACTGTTATTGTGTATACTACAAATTGAAAGTGTTTTATTTTTCTTTATATGCATAAGCACATTACTTACCTTACTCGAACTGCCTACTGCTGTGTATATGCATACCAGTTTTCAAGTCTCATATATAGATTTTTTAGTAGTGAAATATTCCTTGTAACCAAAGATAGGAGTTTTTCAGTAAATTTCCAGAGAACCAAACACACATAAATACAGTGCTACTAGCTCTTTCATGTATATCTAGATTGTTACCTGCTCTTTAGGAACTTCGAATATGGCTGGTCATTATAAGTAATTGAACCTCCTGGTGTCGACCCTCTCACCCTGCCAACGAGCAGACTTAGAAGTGTAGTCTTTCCACTCCCCGAAGGCCCCATCAAGTTTTTCTTTTTCTTTTCGAAAATTCAACTTCCTCTGTACCTTTGTGAGCATATCTTCAGTTTACCATCAGTTTATATTGGATTAGCTTAAAAACACAAACAAGCATTAGAAGCATAGATGATTTCACAAAAAACATGAGCAATGAACTGATAAATGGCAAAAAATCATCAACACTTATCCTAAAACCCGGTTTCAAGCAGTGGCAACTCTAGAAATATTGGTTAGGATAGTCATTGAAAAACTAGATTAGAATTTATGCGAAAGAAATCACACTTGTCATCCACTTTCAATAAATCTCCTAATTTAAACTTTTTAAATCTAAAAAAAATTAAAATATTGACACTATTATTTCAACAAAAAGATATTAGATACATGGAGTATTACAATTGCTCTCAACAAGTTATAAGACTCATATCTAATTTTGAAGGAGCTTTAAGCCTTTTTTTAAAAAAAATTATTTGTGCCGTAATTCAACATAAGTTACATTTAATGAGAAATTTCGGGTATTATTATTTTTTTATGTAAGCATATTTTTTTTAGTCAACTGTTCATATTCAGAAATAAAGTGTATAAAACCTGCAATTTGGGAATGGCCTACATCACATCAACTTTAAATATATACGATACACTTCATTTATAGACTTTTTTCTGGTTATCTACTTCTGACGAAGGTATTACTTTTAGAATTGAAAGACATTATGAGTAAGTGTGCATAATTTGGAGTAGATGAGTTAGGAGTTCAAGATTTATGAGATTGCGAATTTGGGTATTCAAATTATGAGCAGTGTATTGATTAATACATAAATTAACTATATATATCCAAAGAAAAAATACCCTGCCTTTCTTGTGCAGATGCCACTGGTTTCAAATGCATATGAAATTCCATTATTTGAGTATGTTTGTCATAATTTGTTTAATATAATTCTTTGCTCCAGGTGCAAGATGATGTGGTGCTCTAACTTAGCTGTAATTGGTTGAATCAATGGGACCAACCATATTTTTGTCTCTTTTTGGGGGACAATGGGACACTTGTCTCTCAATGAATGGTGTGGGGGTAATGCCCCAAGACCAACCGATAACTTCTCCAAAATGATGGGTTGATAATTAAAAAAATAAATATGAGAGAGAGAGAGAGAGAGAGAGAGAGAGAGAGAGTATTAAAATAAAAATAGAACTAAATTGCAAGCAAACAAGTTAAAGAAACTATGATAATAAAAATTGTTTACATAACCATCAAAAACAATCCACAAGAGTAAAATTGAATATAGAAAATTGTTGGAACAATCTTCTGTGTAAAGAAATGAAACTGAAATAACAAAAATAAAATACTTATAGAAATATTCTTGTCTCGAAGATTAGAACAACAAACTTTTGATCAAGTCGAGTGTGTGACACTCTGTCCTTAAGACAAATTTGCAGCGGCACAGGTGTTCATGGTTTTATCTACATCTATCTCCCAAGATACAATGATCACTCTTACAGATTGTGTAGCGCTACAAATAATCTGTCTTGCGAACCAAACCTGAGTTATGCAATTCTCTGAAAATTCTATAAACTAATATGAAGAATAAATGCAAGAAGAAAAGGAAAACGGAAAAGAATTGGATGAAATGAATTTGCTGGAAGGTCCGGTATTTATAGGCATGGAGGTGTTTGTTCGAAAGGGCAGAAACCCTCTGAACAAGTGTGAAAATGTGAATCGCCAGAAAAGGAAGAGAGACAACCGGAGAAGGCATTGGTTCCGAGCAAAATTCGAATTTCCCGCAAGAATTTGAAAATATTCAAATGAATTTTGTCCAAAAAATTAAAGTTAGGACCTG